AAAAACACTGTAACAAACAATGATGGATCCCACGGCAAAGTGCATCGTAAATAATGCGGCTGTTGCTTGCTGAAGATGTTAGACTGTTAAATATCGATATTTACCATAGTTTTGGGCATCACATTCTTGGCTAGCCGAGGGTTAAAGACATACTGTAGAAGGAGTCTCTTTGGCGCACGCAAGGAGACAAGACCAATGACCAACGACAACAACATCTGCAACAGCAACAAAAACAGCAGCAGCAGAAACACCACCAGAAACAACAACAACAACAACAACAACAACAACAACAACCACAACCACAACCACAACCACAACCGCAACGCAGCCACAACGACTAACACCAACTGCACCAACAACCCTTATGGCATTGCTACCATAAACACCTCTTGGAGGCCAATCAAATTCTATAAACAGTACCTGTGGAAGGTGCTGGTATACATTTCCATGTCTCTTTGTCTCTTCCAGCTTGCCTGCCTTGGGTATTGCTGTCCCGACTTTGCAGCGCGTTGAGATGGTAGTCTGGGCCGGGAAGGCACGGATGCCGGTCTTGCCAAAGCCTGTGCTGTACAACTAGAGCTCTGAGAAAGACTCAAAGGATCTCAAAGGATAAATCACTACAGTAAATCCTCATATGTTATCTGATTTCTTCTGAAGCAGTGTGCTTCCACACCACTGGACCACTTATCCGCAAGCGGCCAATCACCCATTCCAGCTCTGCCAGGCCTGCCATGTCGCCTCACTTTGACATTCTCCCGCTGTTGGAGGGTGAAGCAATGGCATGCATTGCACTTGTCGTTGTTGCGGTTGCAGGTACGAGTTCCTGAATCTGGCGTCCGACGCGCTCATGCCCTTTGACCCCTCAACATACCGCAACCCAAGCCGGCACGAAACAGCTAAAGATCTACCTCTCCAGAAGTCTACAGAATCAAGAAGGAAATGAACACTTCCAAACCACTAAATGAATCACTTTCGCAACTTCCCATGTGGGTTTCCAGGAGGAAAACCCTCGCCTCTCACCTATCATCACCTCTCTACCACTGAACATTGCAAAGTCCGAGCTGGTCCTGTCAGTGCACATGTGCCTGACATCTTGTCTTGTCAGCACCAAGCTCTCTCAAGAGTTCCCTCATATGAAAGGTCAGCTGAATCAACGCACGCCCAATCACAGTCAGCTAAAAAATGCAAAAAAGAACATGCCTTCAACTTGAGAAAACGACAAAAAAACATGTGCATCAGTCAGTGTGCATACAAGAAACGAGCAAATTCGCAGCCCACTAGCTCCTCCACTGTGTGCGACCAAGCTATTGCATTGCAAATTTTCAAGGTCCGGTCCTGACTTCACATGTGGCCAGGTCCAGGTCTTGCCCTGGCCCCCCGTGTTTGTGCTTTGGGTTGGTGGGTCATGGTAGATCTATCCGGCTTCGCCCAAGTGAACATCTTGGACATGCTTATTGCATCTTATTGCCCCCATGCGTTGTCGGCGCCAATCCTCCAAGAAACCGATTGACGATGCGTCTCGCCGAAGCAAATCACAAATGCCACCCGGGTCCCACAAACCAGGTCTCTACTATGTGTTGCACTACAACTTCCTGTTACAGCACTATGGTTCTATTGCCCCAGCGAAGCCATGTATTCCCGCCTCGCAAATCTTCGGCACTGCCTCTCGCACTGATGGACCGGACACGGCAAGCGCATGCATGGTTGATATATATATATAGAGAGAGAGAGATATAGATATAATCAAATCTATTCAATTGGTAGATAATTGACCAATGTCATGGCGCGCGTCAGGCCATCACAACTCACATCCAACGTAAAAGTCAGGGAAATATCAAATGCGGGCACGGGCGCAGCACAAAAAGGACAATCATTCCATACAAAGCATGATTGCAACAGGATTAATAAACCCCCCCAGAAGGTTTCTTGTTTGGGGAGGTTGTCTGGAAGTGGCTGACTGTGAAAGCAAAGCATGCCATGGAGAAACTGATCCAAAAGAATGATGAGGTGGGTGTGCAGCAAATGCCGCATGTGCCCACCAATTTGGCCACTGAGTGACACTGAAATGGCAATGCCAAAGGCATAAGCCAACAAATGAGCCAGCAGGAGGAAAGGATTATTTGGAGTGTAATTATTGGAGGTTGGAGAGAAGCAAGCTTAAACAATCAACAATTGGTGATAGGAGCATAGGATGAAGGATTGGTGAAATCAAAAGGGCTTAAGAGAAGGAAGAAAGGACTTTAACATTTTTTCGGGGGGAGTCAAAACATTGGCCCCAAGAAAGGTGGACTAAACTATACTATCATTAGGGCATTGGGCCTCTAATGTAGACCCTGGATTGTTCACACACACACCTCCCTCAACAATTGGACCCCCCTAGAATAATGTGAGGGAAAACCAATCAATTGATGAAAACAAAAGGAATCGTTACTTGCAGTAGCTACCTCTGGAGACACTCTGGCAATAATAAAATGAAAGGAATCAAGACTGACAACATCTGCAATAATAAAAGCGAAAGGAATGAACAACCTAAGGTCGAAGACGTGCACATTCATATGCAATTCTATATAAAAATTAAAGGATTCAAGAAATCCAAAATGGATCTGAGAAATGAATGGAAATCTGTATCCAAAGACCTTCAAAACAATTCACCTCAAAATGTAAAAGAAATCTTTCAGATTTTTGAATAAGACTGCTGTAAAGAAAGTGCTTCGATACGTCTCGAAATGTTCGAAGACTTAAATATTAAAGGAATCAAGAACAGTAAAAAGAATCGATTAACAGGAAAAGCAAACAATAAGGAATGAAGATCAGTTTCAGGAAAGCTGCAATCCAAGAAGCCTCAAATCTCTAGACAGTACTTTTGGTGGATCCAAGAAGCCTCAAATCTCTAGACAGTACTTTTGGTGGCAAAAAACTAGTGCCAGAAACTTGATTGCTGGACTATGATTTTTTGTTATAGTCAAAATCTTCAACTTGAGTCGAGTCCTACCTTTTGGAGGACCAGCTCTCAACAGGACCAGCACAAGCCAGCCAACCCCCTGCCTCCCCCCCAAACAACCCTGCATGAACCTTGTGCGAAAACAACCCCCACTCTCCCCCAAGAAACTCAAACGTCTTGAATACGTACGCCATCGTAGGCCCAATTCAAAGGTACAAAACCAAAGTAACTCCCCCAAACCTTCCACCCTTCCAATCGCTCAAAACCCACCCTTCAGCCGTTGGGCCTCTGCATGCGTACAGCCCACCATGCGGATCCCTGAAGCCATCCGGCCACAAACATCACAGCTGACGCTTCGCATCAACTGTAGTGTTTTTCGACGCTGACGCAGGTGGTGCGAGTCACGCTTGCCGCAATCACCTGAAGCGGGGAGCCGTTGGTGAGAGAGCGACATCTCATACTCACCCAAGCCCAGAGTTCTTCGTCCAGCTGAAGCAATCATGTATGGAAGTTGCGCCGGTGACTTGCGCTTTTGGAACCAAGCTCATGACTTAACATTCTGCTAAATACAAATAACTAAAGAATTATACTATAAAGTAACTATCACGTGGCACATTCCAGCTGCAATTTCTGCCGGCCGTTCATTTCGTTTGTCAAGGCGAAAAACACACTGGAACAATGGCGCAATCAAAGGACTTCAAGTGCCCGTTTGACCTACATGCAGTTTCATATATACGGTATACACAAGTAACGCGGTATGTATAATATATATATATATGATATATATGCAATATGTATAATGTGCGTACACCTAGTTTGCTTTGAATATACCGTCCCTACTTGGTGTCCTTGCAGCTTGGATAGCCTTAATCATCGGAAGGCACATCAGCGACATAAACATATATCATACATATATATATATATAGTCATAAAAAATGGATGTTGATTGTTCAATAACATTTTCTTCTGTACCAATGGGCTCTAGAATCTGGACACTGCCAGCAAAGCAAGTTGAGAGAATCATTGAAACCCATGGGTGTCAGTCTGATCGTATTGAAGCGCAGCAAGCTTTTTTTCCAACCGCATTAGTAAAGGCGCGAACTCAAGCAGGGAAAGGATAAGAAAAACACAGTACTTGGATGACCATCCCAACTTAGGAGAATGCAACCTCTTCATACCTGGTCATACCTCTTCCACATTATTTGCACAAGACCGTTGTTACATTGATATCACAAACCCAGGAATCGAACAGCCGCCGAAAGCTGACCGAAGCACCCCCAAAACACCAAGTATATGCGGGGCAAGTCGCCACGCGGAGGTCCAAGTGGTTTCGGGGGCGAAAGCAGCACTGCCTGTCCTGGGAGGCGAATTTGGGCGTCGATCTCACTCTGACGCGGAGTTTCAAACACAAGCGTTGGAAGGGCGAAACTACCGCAAATGTACTCCAGGAAATTGGCGCTGGCAAAGCAGGATATTGGAGAAGGACAGGAAGCATGAAATGAGGAAACCTCCAAATCAAAGGAAAACCTATGCACGTTCCGCTTTACTGTTCATCGTTCCAACCATGACCAAACCTATATATATATATATATACATATATGTTTCACATGGGTACGTACGTGTTGTCCATCAAACCTATGAACGACCAGGAAGCGGCTACAGCCCACGAGAGAGGGCAAAATGCACAGGAATCTCCCCCATGTCAGTGCCAAACTAGCAATAGCAACAGACATGGTAAATGTGGATTTCACTCCATGCAATCAGGTTGGAACAGCTTTTGACCGTTCCGGTTGCTGTTTGGCTGCCCTGCGCCCATGCAGGGGCCCCTTGAACCTCGTTCATGCTACGCCACAGGCAAAAGACACGCCTCACTGTTTTTTCCACGCTTTCCATCTCGACACTTCGTGCGGTCGCGATACAACACGAGTTTTCACATCCGTGTTTTCATATTGGTAGCGGAGCCTCCTCACAGGAGGGGGCTCCAGCACCGCGATGGCTTCGTCGCCGACCCGCCGCGGAACCTCACGCGACGCGAATGGCGGCAGCTCCTCCGCGAATGCTGGCAAGGATCTGAAGGACAACTTCGTGCCCCGCTTCGACAACACGACCACGACCTATGCTGAATGGCGGAGGCGAGTGACCCTGTACGCTCGGAAGCTTGAGCTTCAAGGGCGGAAGAGCGAGATCGCCCTCAATGTCCTCTCAGTCCTTGAAGGTCCATCCTGGACCCAATGTGAAGATTTAGATCTCCAGGAGCTGGAGAAAGAATCTGGCCTCGACATCCTTCTCAAGCGTCTGGACCGCCAATGGGCCTATGACGCCAAGGTCGAAATGCCGACCCACTTCGAGCAGTTCTTCTTCAAGCTGCGGCGCAAGAAGGATCAGTCGATCCTGGAGTACACCACCGAGTTCCACCAGACCCTCAGACAGGTCTCAAAGCACAAAGTTGATCTTCCTGAGGAGATCACCGGCTGGATGATGTTGAAGAGAGCCGGACTGACCAAGGAACAAGAGCAGCTCATCCAGACCAACATCGGCTCGACCCTCACGCTTCCAGCTGTCGAGCAGGCTCTCTACCTGATCCTCGGCCAAGATCATCGCCATGTACACCTTCCTGCACACCTGAGGAAGCCACAGCTCCCCGGCCGATGGAAGAGGCAGAGCCAAGTCTTCTGGGAGGAGGACTATGAGCTGGATGAGAACTATGAGAATGAAGAGACCTACTTCCAGGATGCCATCGACCCCGACGAATTCCAGGAGACCATGGGAGAATGGGACGACCCAGAGCCCGATGACACCTTCTACTACGATGAAGCTCAAGAAGAGCTGGACTCCATGTTCGACACCCAGGAGTTCGATGACATCTACAGCACCTACGTCGATGCCAAGAACCGCCTCAACCAGCTCAGACAAAGCCGTGGCTTCTACCCTGTCGTGGCAGTGGTTGATGGCGGAAAGGGTCAAGCACCTCTGATGGCCCAAGGTTCCGGAAAAGGCAAATCCAAGAGCCCTGGCAAGTCAAAGAGCTCTTCCAAAGGAAAAGGCTCAAAGTCTGGAAAAGGGCCTAGCGGCAAGCAGAGAGCTCGCTCAGCTATGGTATGCCTTCGTTGCGGAAAGCCTGGCCACTTCGCAGCAAATTGTTCGACAGCAGGTGCACAGTCAAGCTCACCAAAGAAGCGACCTGCAGATGATGACACAATGGTCCACATGGTCCTCGGCATTGAAGAGTTCTATGATGCTGAGGAGGGCTGCGACTATGAGAATGAGATCTTCTATGACCCGGAGGAGGCCTATGCCCAAGGGGAAGCTTTGGTTCGTGCCGGCGGCTGGCTCACGCCGGATCCTGACGCTTGCATCCAGGACCAAGGAGCATCATCATTCCTGGCTGGCAGTGAGTACATCTTGCGCTACCTCAAGTGGCTGGAAATCCTCGGCTACCCCATGGACAAGTTGAACTTCAAGCAGTGTGACAAGTCCTTCCGCTTCGGTGGAGATGCTACAGGACAGTCAAAATGGATGATCGAGCTACCAACACGTCTGGCTGACGTTGGCGGCAAGATCCAAGCCTATGTGATCTACGGTGCCACTCCCATGTTGTTTGGCCGACCCTTGCTTGAAGCCCTCCATGCCGAGATTGACTTTGGCCGCTCTGGGATGCGCATGCTTGACCAGGAGACCTGGCGGGATATCCCTCGTGGCCGTCAGGGAGCAATGCTGCTTCGCCTCGCTGAAGGGGTGACACGCCCTGAGGACTTCTTCCCCGAGACCTTCGATCTTCGATGTGAAGACGATCACAACAATGGCCTCAAGCTGAATGACTTCTTGGACGACCTCAACGCCCACGAACGCTTCTTCGAGATGACCACTGAAGTGCACGCCTACTTCCAGGCATGTGAAAAGGGTGAAACCGATGAGACAACCTATATGGAGGTCGACCAGGAGAACATGACCGACCTACTACCTGGTGAAACAAGCAAAACGATTGAACAGTTGGAAAAGACCCTCACCATGTTTGAGCACCAGCTGGCCGAACACCAGAAGACACTTCAACAAGAAGTACATCATGCCCGGGAACATGGCCTTTCCCACCGCAAGCGACTGATCTGGGAAGTCTATGCTGGAGAAGGCCGCATCACTCAACTCCTTCAAGCTCATGGCGATGTGGAGGTGATGCGCTTCGGATTCGAAGATGGATGGGACTTCAACAGAGCCGCACATCGAAAAGCTCTCCTACGCTTGTGCGATGAGCTTGAGCCTGACGAGATCTACATGTCACCCAGTTGCACTCTCTGGTCGAGGATGCAGCAGATCAATGTGCAAAATGAGGCTCAAGCTGAAGATCTTCAAGAACGCCGTGAAGTGGACCGGCGAACCCATCTGACCATGTGCAAGAAGCTGTATTACAAGCAGGTGAGAAGAGGAGACCACGCTCACATCGAACACCCTCACCTGAGTCTAGCTTGGGAGACGCCTCAACTCCGACATCTTCCCGGACATCAAGCGATCTTCGACCAATGTGCCTACGGAGCAGTTGCCGAAGCCGATGACGGTTCGTTCCTGCCCATCAAGAAGACCACCAAACTGCAGACGACGAAATGGGCAATGTTCAATCTGATGTCCAAAAGGTGCGATGGACAACATGCTCATCAACGCCTCGAAGGACGGAACAGGTGCAAGAAGGCTGAAAACTACCAGACAGAGCTAGCAACAGTACTCGCTCGTGGACTACTTCTTCATGAAGGCCTCAATGAGCAAGTCTACACCGTCCACAATGAAGATGACAAAGCTCTCACTGGTGTCCTTCGCAAACTCGGAAAAGTTCATGGCAGTGAAGCAGTCCGCATTGCCTACCGACTTCATCGGAATCTTGGTCATCCTCGCAAAGATGTTCTTCTCAAGATGCTCAAGGAGCGAGGATGTAACGAGGCAATTCAAGCGGCAGTTCAAGACCTTCACTGTCCGTACTGCGAGATCCACTCCGTCAAGAAGGGCAACGCACCTGGCCATCTGGACAGACCCACTGAGTTCAACGCCCAGGTTCAAGCAGATGTTTTGTGGTTGGAGATGGACGAGATTGGCATGCTCCTTGAGGCTGGTCAACGCAAGCAGCGCACCAAGCGCATTGCTGTGCTCATCATGGTGGACGTTGCCACTCGATACATGGCAGCTCGCACAGTCCCAGATGAAAAGGGCATCTCTCTTCAAAAGGCCCTTGAACGAGCCTGGATCCAGTTCCATGGACCTCCGAAACAGCTCTACGTCGATGAGGGAACTGGATGGGCTTCAGACTCCACAGCTACATGGTGTGAACAGCACGACATCGAGCTTCGCATATCACCTGGCCAAGCTCACACTCGCACCAGCATCGTTGAGCGCAGACATCAACTGGTTCGGAAGGCAGTCTCCATCTTCATGCTGGAGCACGAACTAAAAGGCCTTGACGGAGTTCAACAGGCTTTATCATGGGTGGTTCCCTCGGTCAACTCCAACACCTTCGTGAACGGCTTCACTCCGTCCCAGCTTGCATTAGGCCGAGAACCTTCAATGCCCGGACTCCTTTCTGATGAACGTACTGGACCACTACAACTTCAGATGTCCGAGCAGGAGCGACTTCACAGACGCCTCACTTTGAAGTTCTCAGCCCAGCAGGCTTGTGGCAAGGCTGAAATTGATGTCAAGTTGCGCCGAGCTCTCCTTCGCAGGTACACTGGCCGTGATGAAGACCTTCATCCTGGAGAACGATGTCTGTACTGGCGAGATGCTGCTGATCGAGCACACACCATTCGCTGGAAAGGTCCTGCGATCGTTCTGGCCATCGAGAGAAACCCTGACACTGGCACCGTGTCCTGCTATTGGTTGGCTCATGGAACCGTTCTTCTCCGTGCCAGCACCCAGCACGTTCGCAAGTTAGTCAACGACACTGGCACCATCGACGGCTCAGCTCGAGTTCAACAGGCTCTACGAGACCTACGACAGCGGCGAGCAGTTCGCATTGTTGACCTTCGACGCTCCAACAAGCGCTCCATCGATGAGGTTGACCCTGAGATAAGTGACCTGGAGTACACTCCCACCGACACCGAAGCTCAACCATCTACAATGGCCTCTCCCGGACAACCTGATGGACAACCTGATGGACAACAACAGCTTGCTTCGGAGCACGCTGCTCGATCCGCACCTTCACGACCTCGACATGAAGAGCCTCAACGAGAGCCACCTGATTCACTTCCTCCAACTCAGGAAGCAACCGAGGATCAACCTGAACAAGATCCCCTTCCTTCAGAGGTTCATGATGATCAACCTGAACCACCACGAGAACAAGATGGACCTCCACAGTTGGAAATGGAAGAAAATGAAGATGAAGTTGAAGAGCCAATGGGCGAACCAGCACACAGGCCAACGCCCAGGATAACTCGTGATCCTGCTGATCTTCCTGCAGTTCCCGAGGACCACGACTTGGATCAACCTCCTGAAGCACCACCGACTTCATCACAAAGTCAAGTGCCAGTGGATGCCACCTACATCCCTCCTGCTGTACCTGAAAGCTTTCAAGATCGACGACGACGCTTCGATCAGCAGGAAACCATTTGGACAAGAAAGAAAGCTCGCACTGACGAGCCAAAATTTGAAGTTGGCCTCCACTCCATGGACTTCTCCAAGACCACTCTTCCAGAAAGCTGGACCTATGACAAGAAGAACAACGAGTTTGTCTTGGGAGCCACTCAGGACTGGTGGAGCTTCGAGGATGGCTTTTTGGTTCGCAACCACGTTTGGAGCAAAACAAGCACCTACCATCCTGAAGAGTTTCCAGTCTCTACTGATTTTCTGCAGACCACCACCGGTCTGTCTATGCAGCAGGGAACTCGCACCATCTATGTCAACTCCACTGAGGAGCAGCACTTTGCTGATGGATGGACTGGCAAAACCCTGTACCCTCTCACACAGGCAGGTGCAGAGCACTATGGTCTTCACTACATCGGCGATCTCACCAACAAGCTTCGCAGATGCAAGACTTTGCGTGGCCGAGGCCACATCTGGCAAGCAGTTGGCATGAGCGCTCCTCGCAAGAAACATGTCAAGGAGAGCGCCGACCTCAATGAGCGCCGGATGTCACTGGAGGACCGCCTGACCTTCCTGGAGGGCAAGAAAGCAGAGCTCTCAAGCATCTTCGAAAATGGAGTTTGGGAGATTGAGACCGACCCCGCTTCTGTCGACCACAACAGAGTGATGAAAGCTCGCTTTGTTTTGAAGTGGGCAGCGGATGGCAAGGGCGGCCTCAAGGCCAAGGCCCGTTTGGTCTTGCAAGGGTTCTCTGACCCTGACTTGCTGAATGGCGCTCTGGACACTTCATCGCCGACTTTGGCAAGGACCTCCCGACAAGTGTTGCTGGCTATCAGCCAAGTCTCTGGCTGGAAACGCTGGACGGCCGACGTCAGTACGGCATTCCTCCAAGGTGATCCTCAAGAACGAGTTCTTTGGGCTCGCATTCCTCGAGACGCCTGCAATATCATCGGTGTTCCTGCCGGAACCTTGATGAGGCTGATCAAGCCCATCTACGGTCAAGCCGACGCCCCAAGGCAATGGTTCATTGTGGCCAGAAGGCGACTTGAAAGCCTTGGATACCGAGCTCACCCGCTGGATCAGTGCCTCTTCACCTACCACGACTCTGACAAGAACCTGATCTCCATGGTGGGACTCCACGTCGACGACCTTTTGGGCTGTGGCAAGACCGACTCCTCCGAATACGAACACCTCAAGTCCAAGCTGAAGGAAGCCTTCAACTTCAAGCACTGGACGGAAGAGGGAGACACACCTTTGGAGTTCTGCGGCTGCCACCTGAGCCGAGACAACACTGAGTCCAGGTTGCACCAGAGCGACTACTTCAAGAAGGTCAAGCCCATGACATGCAATGATTATGATGCCAACCGTTCCCTCAACAACAAGGAACAAAGTTGCCTCAGAGCCCTTCTCGGAGCGCTTCAATGGCCTGCCACTCAGACCTCACCTCATTTGAGTGCTTCGGTATCTCTGTTGTGCGGCGAAGTCACAGCCGCCACAGGTGACACTGCAGCTCAAGCCAACAAGCTCCTCCGCTTTGCTAAGAACAACAGCGATGCTGCCCTGATCTTTCGAGATCTTGGAGGGGACATGGAGAAGCTGTGCATGGTGGCCATGAGCGATGCAGCTTGGGGAGTTCGTCGCAACAGCGAATCCCAAGGTGGCTATGTGATCTTCCTCTGCAACCAACAGATCCTAGAAGATGGCTCTACACAGGACTACATTGTCCTGGACTGGAGAAGCTTCAAGTTGCCAAGAGTGAGTCGTTCATCACTCAACGCTGAGAGCCAGGCCTGCTCGGCCGCCATGGACGCCCTGGAGTACCTGTTGATCTTCTGGGAGGGCTGCACCCGACACGACTTCCAACTTCGACAGGTGGACGAGTTTTCACCAACTATGCCCTCGTCACTGGTGGTCGACGCCAAGGCGCTCTACGACTCGCTCAAGGCTGAAACACCCAGCCTGCAAGGCGACAAGAGAACAAAGATTGAAGTCATGGTGACCAAGCAGAAGATGCTGGCAATGAAGTCCCGGCTGAAGTGGGTCTCATCTGAGGCTCAAATGGCCGATGGAGTCACCAAGTATGCCGCGAGACAGCTCTTTGCCGATCGTCTTCGTTCTCATCACCTTTCACTACAAGCTGATGTCTCCTTTCAGGCATCCAAGAAGAAGACCCTGGCAGAGCGACAGGCAAGCGCAAGACGCCATGCCATCACTCGGACTGGCAACCCCAACCACTTGGCCTTTGCAGTCCTCACCTCGCAGATGATTGGAGTCAAGGCCATGACGGTGGATGAGGTCATAGCAAGCATGCTGTCGCCCGAGATGACCGTGACCCTGTATGTCATTGTGATTGGCATGCTGGTGTGGCGCTTCCTTTGTGGCAACGGGAGAACTTCATCATGGAACTCCACGGTTACAAGAACGACCTGGACTATGACTTCAACGAGCTCTACAGCGGCCGAGACACAGACCGAGAAGGAGCCTGAGACCTCCTTTGGTGTCCTCCGCACCGAGAACCTGCGGCTGCAAGACATCGTGAGAGACCAAGAAGCTGAACTATTTGACCTACAAGCTCAATGCAGAGCACAAGAAGAAGAGATTGAACAGCTCATCGACATCCGAGAGTACATGAGGATTGAGATGCGCGAGATCGACACCGAGTACAAGAAGGCCCGCGACAACTGGATCGATGCGCACAACCGCTTAGCTGCGGTACGTGACCAGCTCTCCAGAAACTGGATCCCTGACGCGGTCATCACGACCCGAACTGGCAAATCCTACCACACACACCCTGACTGCCAAGCGCTGGCAGCGGCAGATTCGACTCAGTTGAAGCAGTGGAACTGCTGCGCTTTCTGTAGCCAGAAGTCTCTTGAGTTCTGGCGAAGCTACTGAAGAGATGAACCACCACCGGTGTGGATTTCACTCCATGCAATCAGGTTGGAACAGCTTTTGACCGTTCCGGTTGCTGTTTGGCTGCCCTGCGCCCATGCAGGGGCCCCTTGAACCTCGTTCATGCTACGCCACAGGCAAAAGACACGCCTCACTGTTTTTTCCACGCTTTCCATCTCGACACTTCGTGCGGTCGCGATACAACACGAGTTTTCACATCCGTGTTTTCATAGTAAAGTTTAAAGAACCGTCTTCTCTTTGCCACGGCAAGAGAAGATTTGGCGTTATTCTGCCTGAAATCGTGCGGTGCGTCATCTGTGCATTTCGGCGCTCCCACCTAATTAATAAAGTAGGGCGACCTATAGCGTAGGACAATTACACTGGCCTGCCCTGCTTGAAGCCTCTAGAAAATGCTTCAGCCAGAAAATAGGGCAGGTCACAAACCAAATTAATTGCACAGGGGTTCTTGTCGTTGCTCACTTGAACAGAACCATCTTAAACCAGCAAATTCGAAGCGTCCAACCACACACACACATTCTTATCAATACACCAAGAATCCAAAGCAGCCATGGACCTGGCACATATTGCTGTGCAAAAATGCCTCCAAATGATCTGGCGATCCTCGAACACAGCTGCTGAGTTAGGAAAACTGCCTGTCCGTTTTCCAAACCGACCCAGAAGCGGAGGATGTCATAAGTGTCCAATGCCCTCAAATTGGTTTCATTCCATCATTCTAGATTCTACACATTGATTGCTACATGTTGGTCACGAGGAGCAGTTGATGGTTGCAAACAACAGGTAAACAGTAAACATTCCTATCTGGCTGAGATCAGCATCAAACAATCCACAGGAAACAAGAAAAAACACTCTACACTCACTACTGCCTTGCTCCTAAAGCAACAGCTCAGTTGGCGTTGGCTGGTTTCAGTCACTGTATCCTGCTTAGATTTTGGGGAATTGGAGTAAGGGGCCGTGCCACAGGCAACCTCGGCCCGATCAAGTTCCTTCAGGTCCACAAGGGCTACTACCTGTGAACTCAGCTTCTCTAATTGCAACCGTTTCTATGAAAGCAATTAGACCTTCCCAGGTGGGTTTTCTTGTGGGAGGAATTTGCCAAACATAGTCTTTGGATGAATGAGCGTTAGGGTATTGAGCCAAAAGTTAGGAGGAGGGTGTACGTTATACAGTCACCCAGTTGGACATAGTTGGACCATTTCAGATTGCGATCCACAGTCTCCAAACTTGTGATTGGTACCGTCTACTCAGGACCCTCCTCTTGCTCTTGCTCCGAAAGCCCAAGTTGCCATCGGGCAGATCATTCGAACAGGCGAAACCTGAAGAACAAGAGGTTCAGAAATGATGCTCACCTGGAATTGATCTCTTGAGACTCTTGGGAGGACCCCTTCTTTTTACCACACTTGCTTCAAATGTACTATATATTGTGGTTCCAGGGGCACTGGACAACAATTAGGAGTTGGGAATCACGAGATGTCTTGCCTTTTGCTTTGTAAGAAATTATCCATCCGAATTCGATTGTATATGTTTTCGGACTTGGCACAGGCTCAGAAGTTCTTGGCATCACGCATGTCTCTGAGGAAGGAGGCATGCGGCAAATGTAGCCAACCGTGTCGGCCCGCAGTACTTTTGATGTTGCAATTTTTTTACACAAATTACGTCACTTTGGATCACCTTGGTGGTCAGTGTGTGTGTGCCCCTTGTAGTCACAGGGATTTCTTTTGAATTGTGAAGGAGTGACAAGCACAAATCTTGAAGTGCACCACGATGTTGCAGTGTAAAGGAATGACGCGCACAAATCTTGAAGTGTTTCACGATGTTGCAGTGCAACCCTTGGAGTCACAATCCAGATTTTTTGGTCTTGTGTTTGTTTGATTGTTTTTTGTTTTCGCTGCTTTGTGTCTTGTGGGCCTCCTAACCTACAGCGCAGGCCTCCAACATGGTTGCTATGGCCTCTTGATATTTTTGGTGTCCTTCTAATAGTTTATATGCCGGTTGCCCTTAGGGCCGGCGCGTCCGCTCTGTTCGACTGGATGCATTCCTATTCAGTCTGCAGAGTTGGGGTGGGCACAGGTGCTTGCTGTAAACATGCTTGCTGTAAACTTGGTACTATGGCCTCCAACCCATCTGCGATGACCTCTAACCTTGTTGCTGTCTGCTTGTGCGATGGCCTCCAAACTTGGGCGATGGCCTCCAACTTCTAGCGATGGCCTCTATATAATTTAACTTTACTTGCCCTGTTTCCTTAGGTGTTTTTTTCACTTAGGCTGGCGTGTGGCACCGCTGTCAAGTCAGTACGCATATCCATAAGTGTGTCTGGCCTCGTGCCAGCCCGGGATGAGCCCGTAGAGTGCCTCCCGTGGACCCGTCGAACGGGGGTTTGTCCATTGTTCCCCCTGCCCGGGAACGAAGCGGACAGCAGGAGGCTTATGCCAAAGTTATTTGCCAACATTTGTCGGATTATTGAATTCCAAGTTGGCTCATGCCTCTACGTGACCGCAGCGGTCAAAGCAGCCAGCCACTTTGGCAGGGCACAAGGTGACCACAGCGGTCAAAGTACTTTTGAGGTTCGTTGGAACCTGTGGAGAACTTAGCCCCCCCTCCTCCCTTCCCTCCCCCTTTCTTTCTTTAATACTCAGGATCACCCCTCTCTTTCTATGGTGTGTCCCTGGACGCTTGTTCGTAGCTGGGAACACCTGCCTTTTTCCTTTTCTCTCCTCTCCCTTTCTCTCTTTCTTTCTTTCTTTCTTTCCTCTCTTCACCTTCCTTCTTCCTTGGGTGTCCCTGGATGCTTTCGTCATAGCTGGGAACCCTTCTCCTCTCTTCTTTTGGTGTGTCGTTGGACGCTTGTGCCGTAGCTGGGAACACCTTCCTTTCTTCTCTTTCCTTTTTCTCTTCTCTCCCTACCCCTCCCTCCTGTCGGGACCTTAGAGTGGGATGCTACTAGCGGCTCCTGGCCTTCCTACTAGGTGCTCGGACGCTACTTTGACGCTACTAGGGGTTCCTGGCCTTACTACTACTCTGTCGGCACCTTAAATATGCCTCCCCTCGGGGAGGCGTGTGTGTGTGTGCCCCTTGTAGTCACAGGGATTTCTTTTGAATTGTGAAGGAGTGACACGCACAAATCTTGAAGTGCACCACGATGTTGCAGTGTAAAGGAATGACACGCACAAATCTTGAAGTGTTTCACGATGTTGCAGTGCAACCCTTGGAGTCACAATCCAGATTGTTTGGTTTTGTGTTTGTTTGATGGTTTTTTGTTTTTGCTGCTTTGTGTCTTGTGGGCCTCCTAACCTACAGCGCAGGCCTCCAACATGGTTGCTATGGCCTCTTGATATTTTTGGTGTAATAGTTTATATGCCGGTTGCCCTTAGGGCCGGCGCGTCCGCTCTGTTCGACTCGATGCATTCCTATTCAGTCTGCAGAGTTGGGGTTTGCACAGGTGCTTGCTGTAAACATGCTTGCTGTAAACTTGGTACTATGGCCTCCAACCCATCTGCGATGACCTCTAACCTTGTTGCTGTCTGCTTGTGCGATGGCCTCCAAACTTGGGCGATGGCCTCCAACTTCTAGCTTACTTGCCCTGTTTCCTTAGGTGTTTTTTCACTTATATAGGCTGGCGTGTGGCACCGCTGTCAAGTCAGTACGCATATCCATAAGTGTGTGTGTGTGTGTGTCATGTTTCATGTTCTTTCTTCCACGTGAATGGTGCTCTAAGCGTTACCGTAGACCATGATCCAAAAAAAAAATGGCACAAGCAACACGCTATCCGAATCCAACATCATGCCCTACTTAGCAGCAGGGCTGGCAAATGATGACAAAGTGCGTTGACGTGTGGCCTGACGGCAGTGCTTTTCCACAACATATTTATTCAAGGCATCTTTGACCTGAAGACTACACTATACTACACTGCATGTGCGCCTTGCACATATTGGAGGGTCAGGTGAGACAGCACTTTGGGTCATAGGCTTTCGCCGACCACCTTAGGTCAGAGGCAAACTCAATGGGTCGAACACCCCTGCTACTGATCTCCGGATCTGCGCGAGCATGAAGCAGGAAAGCCAAGTAGTCTTCGTTCTCAAAAAAAAGAAACACGGACCTACCCAAAGGCGTGCTGCTCAAGTCCCGGAGAGCTAAAAGAAGCAAAACTCACAACCGCACAAATCTGCTGTATGCTCGGGAGAAATGCTGTCTACTAATGATGCCTTCTGGCTGGCAAACCTGGTTATATAATGTCTGCCAGTCTGCTCTGTTTTCCAACGAGAGCTGGGCAAATTTCACATCGTTCTGGGCTTCACCCAAAAATGCAAAGGCTGCAATGTTGTGCAAAGGCGACGCACTTGCGATTACTCCCCGTCCGCCGTGCACATCCGCTTGGAGCTCCAGGAGCCTAGTAAGCACCTCGCACGGGGCCTCACATCCTGCCACATTGTGAATGGGCAATGTTGGCCCAAGAACTTTCCTCGAAACCCCACCTCCCAGAAACAAAAGCTCCACGCCGCCTGCGCGGCAAAAAGACAACGGTGAAGCAGTATGGAAGTTGGCACAGTTGGGTTCGGCTCACAATTCCAACAGTGTCTCCAACACGTGCAATTCATGGCTTCTGAACCTTACAGCCAAGTGCAAGGCGTGAAGTCAGCCACTTTCAGGACCTCTGGCAAGCCTCGGCCACAAAGTAGTTGTGCTCTCCTGAGAGAGTAGCGCAAGCCAGTGGACCTAGGCTTTGTGCTCCAAAGGTTTGGAAAAGGATAATTCCAAAAGCAAGACCTCAACACTACGACGCGGCTCCAAGGACCAGTCAGAGTCATATCTTCAAAACGTGACAGGGTGTTTTACGGCTGGGAGGAGTTATAGTGGACCTATGTTTCGGAGAACCACATGGACGAAGAGATGATGAAACACATCGCAGGGCACGCATGCTTTGAAAGCTGCCCTGCGACGTGTTTCATCATCTAATTAATCATTCATGTTGTTATCCTTCCTCTGACTCAGCTGCGCGAGATATTGAGTCAAAGCTGTTTGAATGACACTTCTACACAAGGCACGGTCCTTCTTCACCGCAAAGTCCCCGTAGTGCACAGGGTACCAGTGCCACAAGGGTGCTATGAACTGTGCCCCCCCCAAAAATAGTGTTTTTTTTACTGCAACAATGGCAATCATTGATCTTGCAAAGGGGAAATGGCACCAAAGCTTTGTCCTACACCAACCCCTTTGAATTTGAAGCCAGGTATGGAAGTATATATGTGAGCCCCTGTCAGGGAGAGCCTTCGGTACCAAAGCGAGAATGACGTTGCAATGGCAATGGCCCACATATGTTGGAATGCTGTGAACATACTGCAGCTGACCTTCTGCCAGTCCATCCACCGCATGCTCATCAATAGGCTTAGGAACACATACATAATCCAACCAAAGGTACGCACCCTGTATTTGCCGCAGGTCTGCTTCGGACAGTCTGCCACCTCTCGATTGCGAGACAATATCAGTTTCGATCTTGAGCTTCCCCGCGATCACGTCACGTGGCTTAAAATACCTTGAAGCACTTGCAGCTGCTCTCCATTCGGACAAGGATGGTTGTGACCCAGCCACTGGTGCGAGACAAAAATGATCATCTTCGGACCCCACTTCTCTAGAAAACCTTCAGCCTTCAAGAATTGATGCGGCCGGAACCTCTGTGCCATCTGGAGAACATGCCCAACGCTCATCACCCACATGGGGGCATGTTGTTGATGCTCAAAGCGAAAGCCATCTCAGCGACTGATACGCGATCCCATGGCGAGTAGTCTTGGAGTGATCTATCTATAGTCTCGATTGATTCGTTCTGGCCATGATTCTGGACATGTCTGTCTGCATCTCAAACAGTTTCTTTCAAAAAGAGAGAGAGAGAGAGAACAAACCAAAACGAAAAATCAAATGATGAGAGACGCATTCTTGTTATTGTTTTAGCCATATTCCTCTGTCTCTACTGTATATCTTGACACGAGGTGTGACGATCCAAACAGCACGCCGGCGTCTTTTGTGGTCGTGGGCCGATGTATGTAAACATCCTGTCTAAACACGACAAACAACACATTTCAGTGACAACATAAGGGGTCTCGCGCCCCATACATCCAAGAAAAGCAAGCCCAATTATGGCGGATTCATCATTGACCTGGTGTTTTATATTGTTGTATAAGCTTGGGAAAGCTCCTTAATTACTGACCTTGGGCAGCTGCAATGATGACGTGTTTGAGACAGGTTGTTTGTGGGCTCTTGGAGTTGGCAGTTGGGCACCTTACCTCACCACTCGACCAGCGCGCCTTGGGTGGGTGCAACCTTCGCCGCAGCGTTTCCGTGGTCCATCCCGCCACCTGAACATGGGCATTCAACGGCCAAGACCACAACAAATCGGTTGAGGGCCAAAGATTCTGAAGTAACATGGAGTCATGGCCCGGATGTCAAGGACCTCGACTAAACAATATTTACACTTCTTGTGGGAAATGCAGTTCGGCCCACATATTTTTCCCACAGCCTTCAATGTCAGTTGCAAGACTAGGTCCGCTGGTGTTGTGTTCAACTGATAATTATTGGAACATGATTTCAAAAGGAAGGGTTCTCGATTCTCGGCTTCCATGTTTGTTGGAGGGTGGCTAAAGTGGTAAACAGTCCACTTTGGTACATTGCTCGCGGTTCGGTTCCCGGAGTCTGTTGGCCTCAGAAAAGGTGTAGTGAATGTAGTGCGGCAACTTGGAATGTCACACACACACATTGGACACACAAACACATGGAAGCATAGCCGCTAAAGGCGCTAAGTGTAAGACAGTAATGAATCACGCACCACACTAGGATTGGCAGCCTTGCTCTTTTC